CGAAAGTTTCTGTGATGACTGCCCTTGTACTGTTCACCATGTAAGAACTTATTCACTATGTAAGAATTTGTTCACCATGTAAGAACTTGTTCATTATGCTTCAGAAGATTGGAGACTGACGAGAATTAGGCTTGAGATGGATTAATGATTGTGCATTGAGCATTGACTCCCCTATACAGAATTTTATTGTTGTCAACAACCATTTGATCAATAAATATGAGAGATACCCTCTCAAAAAAAATAAATAAATAAAATAAAATACAGTCATTCACAATCCCAGCAAAAAAAAAATACCTTCTAAGTAACATCTGGGCTAAAACAGAAATCCCAAGAGAAATTAAACAATATTTGAACTAAATGAAAATACAACTTACCAAATTTCTGATTTGCAAAACAAGCAGTGTTCAGAGGAAAATTTATAACATTGAATGCATACATAATAGAAATAATAAGAAACATCTAAAAGCAATAATCTAAGTTTCCAATTTAGCTAGAAAAAGAGAACAAATTAAATTCAAAATAAGAAGAAAAGAAAATATGAAAATTAGAATACCGATCAATGAAACTGTGAACAGAAAATGAATAAACAATGAAATCGAAAGCTGGTTCTTTGAAAAGATCAATAAAATTTATAAACCCCTAGACAGGCTAAGAAAAACAGAGAAGACATAAATTGCTAATATCACAAATGAAAGAGGGGACATCACTACAGACTGCATTAACATTAAATGATAATAAGGAAATACTATGAATTAATTCTATGCCTACAAATTTGATAACCAAAATTGACATATTGTTTCAAAGACATACTCTGCAAAATAGACAAGATAAAATAGACAATCTGAATAGGCCTATACCTATTTTTAAATTTAACCAATAATAACCTTCCAAAATGGAAAGCACAAAGCCCATGGGTTCACTGATGAATTCTACTGAACATTTAAGGAAGAAATTATAGCAGTTCTCTATAATCTCTTCCCAAAGATAGAAGCAGAGGGACTATTTCCTAACTCATTCTATGCGGCTAGCATTACGATGACACCAAAACCAAAGACATTAAAGAAAAGAAAATTATACACCAATCTCTCTCATGAACACAGATGCAAAAATCCTTAATAAAATATTAGCAAATTGAATCCAACAACATATAAGAGCTATATACATCATGACCAAGTGAGACTTGTAACAGGCATGCAAGTTTAACTTACGAAAATCAGTGAAGGTAGTACATCAACAGACTAAGAAGAACAATCAGATGATCATATCAATAGATGCAGAAGAGCATTTGACAAAATCCAATACCCATTCACAATGAAAATTTTTAACAAACTAGGAACAGAGAACTTCCTCAATTTGATAAAAACATCCAACATCATATTTAATGGTGAGAAACTTGAAGATTTCCTGCTAAGACCAGATAAAGGGCAAGATGTCTCCTCTTACCACTCTTCAAAATCTTACTGTAAGTCCTACCTAATGAATTATGGTAAGGAAATAAAAGGTGAAGAGATTGTAAAGGAAGAAATAAAATTGTCTTTGTTCACAGATAACATGATTGTCTATATAGAAAATCTTATAGAAATGACCAAAAAATTCCTGTAACTAATAAGGAATTATAGCGAAGTTGTAGGATACAAGGTTAATATATAAAAGTCAATTAATTTACTCTATACCAGCAATGAACAAGTGGAATTTGAAATTAAAAACACATTGCCACTTACATTATCACCTAAAAAATTGAAATACTTAGGTATAAATCTAACAAAATATATATAAAATCTATGAAGAAAACTATAAAATTCTGATAAAAGATGTCAAAGAAGAACTTAATAAATGGACAGATATCCCATATTCATGGATAGAAAGACTCACTATTGTTAAGATATGAGTTATTCCCAACTCCATCTACAAATTCAACACAATTCCAGCCAGGATCCCAGCATATTATTTTGAAGATACCAATAAACTGATTCTAAAGTTTATACAGAGACCGGGAATAGCCAACTCAGTATTTGAGAATAATAAATTCAGAGGATTGACACTACCCAACTCCAAGGCTTACTGTAAAGCTAAAATAATCAAGATGATTTCGTATTGATGAGAGAATAGACGAATAGATCAATGGAACAGAATAGAAAGCCCAGAAATATATCTACATAAATACAGTCAACTGATCTTTGACAAAGGAGCAAAGCCAGTAAAAAGGAGTAAAGACAGTCTTTACAACCAATGGTGCTGGAACAATTGGACATCCACATGAAAAAAAAAAGGATCTGAATTCAGACCTTAACCCCTACACAAAAACTAACTCAAAATGAATTATAGACTTAAATGTGAAATGCAAAACTATAAAACTTCTAGAAGACAACATAGGAGAAAACCCAGATGACTTTGGATATGGCAGTAACTTTTTGGATACAACACCAAAGACACAATTCATGAAATAAATAATTAATAAGCTATACTTAATTAAAATTAAAAACCCCTGCCCTGCAAAAGGCAATCCCAAACATACAAGAAGATTAGCCACAGACTGGGAGGAAATATTTGAAAAAGATCTGATAACAAATTGTTATCCAAAATATACACAGAAATCTTAAACCAACAATAAAAAAATGGGACAACTTGCTTAAAAAAAATGGGCCAAAGACTTGACCAGACATCTCACCAAAGAAGAATACAGATGGCAGGGAAGAATTTGAAATCATGTCATTAGGCAAGAGTAAATTAAAGCAATAAGCTACAACTACACATCTATTAGAATGGTCAAAATCCAAAACAGTGGCAACATGAAATGTTGGCAAGGATGTGGAGTAAGAGTAACTCTCATCCACTGCTAATGAGAATGCAAAATAGTATAGCCACTTTGGAAGAACTAGCTTGCCAGTTTCTTACAAAACTGAACTTATACTCTTACCATCCGATCCAGCAATCATGCTACTTGGTATTTATTAATTAGCCAAATGAACTGAAAACTATGTACAAACAAAACCTGCACACTAATGTTTAGAGCCACTTTATTCACAATTGACAAAACTTGATTTTCAGGATGTCCTTCAGTAGGTGAATGGATATATGAACTGATATATCCAGGAAATGGACTGTTACTCAGCACTAACAAGAAATGAGCTACCAAGCCATGAAAAGACATGGAGAAAACTTAAATGCATATGAGTAAGTAGAAGAAGCCAATCAGAAAAGGCTACCTATTGTATGATTTCAACCATATTAAACTCTGGAAAAGGCAAAACTATGGACACAGTAAAATGATTAGTGGTTGCCAGAGTTTAGGGAAAGGAGGGATGAAAAAGCAGAGCACAGGGGATTTTTGGACAGTGGAAGTTCTCTGTATGTCACTGCATTGGTGGACACATATACATTTATCAAAACTCACAGAATGTACACCAGGCATAAATCCTAACGCCAGTGATGATGTATCAATGTAGGCTCATGGTCTGTAACAACCTAGGGCTGAGTATAGAGGGCAGAGGTCCAAGAGAACTCTGAATTATCTGTTCAATTTTGCTATGAACCTGAAACTGCTTTAAAAACCCATCTATTTTTTCAAAAAGGAGCTGTACAACAATACACACTTGAGTTTGTGGTTTTCAGGCTCCCTTCTTAGCCCTGTAATGTCAAATTAAGCATTCAGGATCCTAAAGTAAAGACTTAAAAGTCAAAAAAGAATGTATGAGACTAACAGCTCTGCTAGGCAACTCCTACTGATCATTTAAACCTCCACTAGAAAAGCTTAAATATCAGTTCTACAAAGCCTTCTTTGGCACTTGGTCAATTAAAAAGATTCTTAAGGTAATAAAGCATGCTCCCCGTAGAAGTCCCACACTAAAGGGAAATGTTAAGACAGCTGCACAGCCGTATTACTTACCTTTCTTGGGGCACTGTACATCATATGTTATTTTATTAATAACAAGTTTAAAATCATTCATTAGCAAAATTTCCATCAAGGTCGAAGCTGGAATTTCACTGCCATCTGAAAAATGGAAAACAATGAAAAAATACATCTTTGTTTTAGAACAGCAAGAATCATTTTCCAACATATAGAAAAATACTAACACCCAGGTGTTTACAATGCAATAACGGACAGTTGCCTTTGGGGTACTCCTGAATATCCAATATTGTTCCCATTGCGAGGAATCCTCCCTTGCTGCTCTACCTCCCTTTACACCGGACCACACAGAGCAGGCCCTCCCTCTCTCACGCTGTCAGCTGGACTGGGATCCAGACTGAGGTCCCTGGCAAGGCTCTCTGTACAAGGTCACACAAAGATGCAGGGGAGGTGGGAACTCTTCACGGCAAGGCCAGCACGGAGGTGGCCAGGTAGAAGCGTCAGCAGCAAAGCCCATCAGGCCCTTGCTGTGCTGACCCGGTCTTTGCTCTTGTCCTCCTGTCCCTGCCCTCTTCCAAGCAGGGCCTTCTGTCAATCCCCATCTCAGAGCCTGCTGACACACTCTTTTGCTTAGTCTGGACTATTTCTGCGACTTACACCCAAGTCACTGTTATGTGGACACACACAGGTAGTAACATTTTTTAAAGTCTACCTCTCTCTTATTTTTAATTCCCAGAAGTGATGGATCTATGCTAGTTGGAACCTGGTGGCCCCCCGCCACACCCCACTCCATCCCTTGCTAGCTAGGAGAAGATGAAAAGAGGCAAAGCTGAGAGGGGATGGGGATGTGGCAGGGGTGGTAATGAACATAATTAAATCTAAGGAGTAATTTGCCTGTGTGATTATTTTACAGAGGTGGAGAGAGGTAGGAGAGATTTCAAATATCCTAGGGAACATTCCAGAAAAAAAGATCTCTTGGGAAATTTTAACCTCAGTGTACTTTGCACAGCTTCTCATATAGCCTGGTTTTGTTATTATATTTTCTAAGTAAACTTTAATGTAAAACAGGTGTTAAGAAAGCAAACTCATTAAACAATAAGCAAAACTCTGGCACTGACGAGTGCTTCTCTTTCTATCATTACCCCTTCAGAATGGCCACATATAATTATGTGATATAAAGTCTAGGATGTGTATTTTTTCCTGGCCTAGCATTAGCATGGCTACATTCAACCAGAGCTATTTAAGCTACCTCATATGCAGGAATCCTGCTAGTAAAATTAGGAAGAACCTGGTTGCCTGACGCCTGTTTGGCTCTCTCTAGTTCTTTTGTTCCAGAAGGCATCAAGTCAACGCTGCACCTGGGTCTGTTCCTAGAAGTTGGCTGTTTGGGTTCCCGTTCATCAACTGGGGTAACATCATTTGCCCAGAAATTGCCAAATAATTCAACCCACACAATGGGCAAAACTGTGACAAGCTTTGAAAAATCTTTTCAAGCCCATATTAAATGCAGGCAAATTCCACCCACAGAGCCTCTTTTTAAAAAGATCAGCAACACACCAATCATCTTATTTGACTTTATAAGTATCATTTAAAAATTTACATTTTAATGACTTCAAACCTGCTTCTTAAAATATTGCTATAAAAAGAAATCAACCAAGTATGATTTCTCAGTTGAAGTACTACATTATCCTTTGTATTAATACAGGAATAGCAAAAGACTGATGTGAAACACTTTTAAGGGACTAATGATACAGCACAGAATTTTTCATCTATTCTTGGGCAAGTATTGATTTAACCCAACAGAGTTTTCACTCGATTCAAACAACCCCTTTCCTCTCAAATCTCTAGTATTTTTCTTTGTGCTTTGTGTTTCAGAGCTACTCAAGCTATTTTTAAAAATAAGCAGGGTACACTTCAATCACTGTTTTAACCTTACTTACTTCATTATTTAACAGAAACTGAGCACATACTAAGAGGCAAGCAGTGTGCTCAGCGCCCTTCTGAGTTCTGGGTGTGGATCTCCCTCCTCCTAGAGGTTTAGGAAGGCAGGTCCGAACCCATAGAGAAGGCCCCTAGGCATTCTGTGCTCCTGGACGGGGACAATGTCTGTTTTAAGGGATGAAGCATTAGACCATTTGTGGCCATAGGACTGAAACTTTATTCTCTGATCCTGGTTTTACTAGAAAGAGAGCTCCCCCCTTCCTGTTAAATCCAGAGCCTCTACAATAACCTAATTTCCCTAATCTGCCTCTCCCCTCCTACTTTGATCCAGCTCCCTCCAGGGGAGGTCACAGGGTAGCTGGTGCCTACCTCTGGGCCTCCCCCTAGAGAGCTCCTCTCCCTTCTCACAGCTCCCTTTCCAACCTCATCACTTAAATGTGACTTAGTGAGCACTTCCCCCCAACACCACACACATCTCCCCCCAGCACACTCTGCTTTATTCTTCCCCCTAAGCCTTATTGTCTAACATATTTTACTTCTTTATCTTGCTTCTTTCTCCTCTTTAAATGTAAGCTCCATAAGAGCAGGAGTTTTTGATCTCCGGTGTTCTTTGCTCTAGCATATATGGTAGATGTTCAATAAATACGTTGATCAAATAAAATCTTGAATCTCTATTTTTCCAACTTCTGCATCTATCCCTTAATTGGTTCTGAACTTGGCTAGGAAAGAAGAATGGTTATTTCCTTCTCAAAACTGCAACAGTAATCACTACCTTTAAAATAAGTTTATTCTAAACATGCAATACTATAACAAAATAATGCAAATTTATTCACTTACCTTTATTTGTAGCCTTCGTATGTTGGGCTTGGGTAAAGAATTATTCCATTTCAGGGACAGTAGATCCAAGACCATTTCAGACCCCAAGGGCATAAAAGCTATATCCTAAATTTGTAATATCTAAGTGATTAACTACCTGTGTTGGTATTAAAAATACATTTTTCCCTGAGAATTCCATAAAAAATATACTAGACTGTAATTGATTTGTAACAAAGACTTAACGAACTATTTGTGTATTTTCATTATTCACTGGCTATTTCAATCACTGCAACTGCATTTCATTTTCTAGTTATCTAACTGAATGACTGTCTTTAAAATTTGTTCAGAAAAAATTCTGGGGCTAAGTTTATGAACTAAGTAGCTGAACCTTGTAGTAACTTATTCCATGAATTTTTTATTTAACAGAGTTAATTTTTTTATATTACTGATAAAAAAAATGAAGGCATTAGTCAAGGCCCACCATTTATTATATAATGAATCAAAGAATCAACTTTCTAGAAAGGTAAAGAAACACAACAAAGGTTCAGAAGGAGAGAAAAAGACAAAGTTGAAAAAAAAACATACATACCTGCTGTAAAGATGGCTGCAGTTTTGACACCTTTATCTTCATTTTGTAGGTCCTGAAGGAATGAACCAACTGTCGATAACATTGGTTTGACTACAAATTGACAGCGCTCTTTTCTGGATGGCAAAGTAAGAGTTATCAAGGGAAGGCCGTGTCTATGATTGACAGTTATTGCTGTTAAGAAAAAAAAGATAATAATATAGGAATGGATAAATTAAAAAAAAACAACTTTAAAATACAAAAATTCTAGAAGGCATGCTTAAATATGGAACTCATAATCCTCTGAATTCCTAAAATAATTTGCACTGTTCCTATTGCCTTCATTACACCACAGTTTACATATTCCCTAACCATCCTGTAATATTTTATTATGTATGGATCACACTTTATTATGGTTTTCTGCTTAGTCTTCGTGGGTAAAGAGTTAAGTTCTTGAGGGCCGAAACTGCTTCTAATTAATTCATCTATAACTCCCCTGATTGCCAGGGAGAAAGTTTACCAAAAGACATCAGAGGCATTATGGGAGCAGGAAAGGGAGGAACTGAACCCAAAGGACTACGTGTGGGGGCGGGGAGGGATGCAAAAAAAGGTCTGTTTTGCTCAAAACATATTTCTCACTTTATGTGGAAGAATGGAAATAAATTAACTTAATAATCAAAGAAGTGCTAAGAAAGCTTACCATCAAGGGGCGCCATTGTACTGTAAAGTTGTGACTGATAGCATTTCAGATTTCCAAACGGCTTCACACACAAAACCTGTAAGAAAGATTTACTTTTTTTTCTTTTGGGAAAAAGTGGGGAAGTTGAAAAAGTGTCCTTGCCAGATTTTTTAAGCTTATATGACAATCATGAAGAAAACTTCAGCTTCCCACACATACCCAATAAATAAGCCCTTAGAGAAGCCCACAAAACCTTTCTGACGATTGTGTTGCCCATATGGTAGCGACTAGCCTATGTGGCCATTTAAATTTAATTAAAATGAAATAACACAAAAATCCAGTTTCTCAGTTACCTTCATCACAGTTCAAGGGCTCATTAGTCACATGCCTAGTGGAGACCATACTGGACCGTGCAGAAATAGAACATTTCCATCCTCACAGAAAGTTAGACTGCATAGTGCTGCTGGGTCTGAAACTTCTGAATAGCTACCTTACTATGTTTTTAGGGTTTGCGTTGGTGTTTGTACTGGTGCTTGAGGAAGCCAAACGATGTCATGGTGAGCTGTGTGAACAGAGACTGTGGTAGCAGAAAGAATAGGCCCTGAAGATCTGGAACTCAAACTTCTACAGCAAAGTAGTTCTTTCATATTCATCCAGTTTTTATAATGTGTCAACTTGTAAATAGTTTCTTCACAATGTTTGCCAGTAATTATGCAATGAAGAATTTTTATAAATTGTATTTTTCAGGTTTTTATTTATGAGCGGATACACTATTAAAATAATAAATCACTAGCTAAAAATGTGCTCACTGCTATATAAAAAAAATGACACTGACTCAAGTGCTGTTCCATTAGGCTCAAAATCAAAACAATCTCAATAAGAGAAATAAAACATTCAAATACATATTTCTAGTATAAGCACAACATAGGCAATTAGTTGCAACAAAATATCATGTCACATTAATTTAAGGCTGTTCATTTGAATTTTATTCCTAAAAATATAATTCACAACAAAGGTGAGAAAAAAGAAACCTGATTATTTCTTAAAATAGATGCTACTCAATGAATGAACATAGTAAAAGTCCTCCAAGTTTACATATTGGCTATTATAATACCATCTATTACTTTTAGTGGAACTACATGAAACTGAGAAAAATGTATACACATGAAAACAGAATTATCTACCAAAATACTTCTTTAAAATTATTTAATGATATAATGATTCATCATTTATTAAAATCAAATATAAAAATGAAAGGGATAAAAATTGAAATCCTTCCTTTACTTCTCCACAATCCCTCCAACTTTCTCCTTCCTTGACCAAAGTTTAGTTTGTCTCTGCTAAGCCTGACTAAAAGCCCCATCCTTGGGAATGTCCTCCAAGATCTCAGTTTCACCAATAATCCTGTCTAGTTGCTTTAGCGAGAATTCTCTCACCCTCTATATCTGATCAAATTCTTCATCCTTCTACCATCCACCAGATAACATTTGACCACCCTAGCCTCCCTTCTCAAGAATCCTGTTAGGTCAATTAAGCGAAAAATTACCATACTCTTTTTTTTTTTTCCTGGTATCATTAATATACAATCACATGAGCAGCACTGTGGTTACTAGATTCCCCCCATTATCAGGTCCCCACCACATACTCAATTACAGTCACTGTCCATCAGTGAAGTAAGTTGCTATAGAGTCACTACTTGTCTTCTCTGTGCTATACTGCCTTCCCCGTGCCCCCCACTACATTATTTGTGCCAATTGTAATGCCTCTTACTCCCTTTCTCCTTCCCTTCCCACCCACCCTCCCTGGTCCCTTTCTCTTTGATAACCGTTGGTCCATTCTTGGGTTCTGTGAGTGTGCTGTTTTGTTCCTTCAGTTTTTGCTTTGTTCTTATACTCCACAGATGAGTGAAATCATTTGGTACTTATCTTTCTCTGCCTGGCTTATTTCACTGAGCATAATACCCTCTAGCTCCATCCATATTGTTGCAAATGGTAAGATTTTTTTTCTTCTTATGGCTGAATAATATTTCATTGTATATATGTACCACATCTTCTTTATCCATTCATCTACTGATGGACACTTCGATTGCTTCCATTTCTTGGCTTTGTAAATAGTGCAGCGATAAACATAGGGGTGCATATGTCTTTTTGAAATTGGGATCCTGCATCCTTAGGGTAAATTCTAGAAGTGGAATTCCTGGGTCAAATGGCATTTCTATTTTCAGTTTTTTGAGGAACCTCCATACTGCTTTCTACAATGGTTGAACTAGTTTACATTCCCACCAGCAGTGTAGGAGGTTCCCCTTTTTCTGCATCCTCAACAGCATTTGTTGTTCCTAGTCTTTTCTATGTTGGCCATCCTAACTAGTGTGAGGTGATATCTCATTGTGGTTTTAATTTACATTTCCCTGATAATTGTGATGTGGAGCATGTTTTCATTATTTTCAGGTGCCTGTTGGCCATCTGAATTTCTTCTTCTGGAGAAATGTCTGTTCATATTCTTCGCCCATTTTTTAATAGGATTATTTGTTTTCTGGGTGTTGAGGAATGTGAGTTCTTTATATATTTTGGACGTTAACCCCTTGTTGGATTTGTCATTTACAAATACATTCTCCCATATTGTAGGATGCCTTTTTGTTCTTCTGATGGTGTCCTTTGCTGTACAGAAGCTTTGTAGCATGATGTAGTCCCATTTGTTCATTTTGTATTTTGCTTCCCTTACCCAGGGAGATGTGTTCAGGAAAAAGTTGCTCATGTTTAATTCAAGAGATTTTTGCCTATGGTTTCTTCTAAGAGTTTTATGGTTTCATGACTTACATTCAGGTCTTTGATCTATTTTAAGTTTACTTTGGTGTATGGGGTTAGCCAATAACCCAGTTTCATTCTCTTGCATGTAGCTGTACAATTTTGCCAACATCAGCTGTTGAAGAGGCTGTCATTTCCCCATTGTATATCCATGGCTTTCTCACATATTAATTGACCATATATGCTTGGGTTTATATCTGGGCTCTCTAATCTGTTCCATTGGTCTATGTGTATGTTCCTGTGCCAGTACCAAATAGTCTTTATTACTGTGGGTTTGTAGTACACCTTGAAGTCGGGGAACGTAATCTCCCCAGCATTATTCTTCCTTCTCGGAATTGCTTTGGCTATTCGGGGTCTTTTGTGGTTCCATATGAATTTTAGAAATATTTGCTCTAGTTCATTGAAGAATGCTGTTGGTATTTTGATAGGGACTGCATGGAATCTGTAGATTGCTTTAGGCGGGATGGCCATTCTGACAATATTAATTCTTCCTATCCATGAGAATGGGATGTGTTTCCATTTATTGGTATCCTCTTTAATTTCTCACATGAGTGTCTTGTAGTTTTCAAAGTATAAGTCTTTCACTTCCTTGATTAGGTTTATTCCTAGGCATTTTATTCTTTTGGATGCAATTGTGAATGGAATTGTTTTCCTGATTTCTTTCTTCTAGTTCATGGTTAGTGTATAGGAGTGCAACAGATTTCTGTGTATTCATTTTGTATCCCACAACTTTGCTGAATTCAGATATTAGATCTAGTAGTTTTGGAGTGGAGTCTTTAGGGTTTTCTATGTACAATATCATGTCATCTGCAAACAGTGACAATTTGACTTCTTCCTTACCAATCTGGATGCTTTTATTTCTTTGTGTTGTCTGATTGCTGTGGCTAGGGCCTCCAGTACTATGTTGAATAAAAGTGGGGAGAGTGGGAATCCTTGTCTTCTTCCCGATTTTAAAGGAAAAGATTTCAGCTTCTCGCTGTTAAGTATAATGTTGGCTGTGGGTCTGACGTATATGGCCTTTATTACGTTGAGGTACTTGCCCTCTACACCCATTTTGTTGAGAGGTTTTATCATGAACGGATGTTGAATTTTGTCAAATGCTTTCTCGGCATCTGTGGAGATGATCATGTGGTTTTTGTTCTTTTTGTTGATGTGGTGGATGATGATAGATTTTCAAATGTTGTACCATCCTTGCATCCCTGGAATAAATCCTACTTGACCATGATGGATGATCTTTTTGATGTATTTTTAACTCAGTTTGCTAATATTTCATTGAATATTTTTGCATTTATGTTCACCAGGGATATTGGTCTGTAATTTCTTTTTTTGTGGTGTCTTTGCCTGGTTTTGGTACTAGAGTGATGCTGGCCTCGTATAATGAATTTGGGTGTATTCCCTCCTCTTCTACTTATTGGAAAACTTTAAGGAGGATGGATATTAAGTCTTCACTAAATGTTTGATAAAATTCAGCAGTGAAACCATCTGGTCCAGGAGTTTTCTTCCTAGGGAGTTTTTTGATTATCAATTCAATTTCTTTGCTGGTAATTGGTCTATTCAGATTTTCTGTTTCTTCTTGGCTCAACCTTGGAAGGCTGTATTTTTCTTTTGTTAGTATATAATTTGTCATAGTATTCTCTAATAATTCTTTGTATTTCTGTGGTATCAATAGTAATTTTTTTTCTCACTTATGATTGTTTATGTATGTAGACTCTCTTTTTTTCATGATAAGTCTGGCCAGAGGTTTATCTATTTTGTTTATTTTCTCACAGAACCGATCTTGGTTTCATTGATTTTTTTCTATTGTTTTATTCTTCTCAATTTTATTTATTTCTGCTTTAATCTTTATTATGTTCCCCTTCTACTGATTTTGGGCCTCATTTGTTCTTCTTTTGCTAGTTTCGTTAATTGTCCATTCAAACGGTTCACTTGGGATTGTTCTTCTTTCCTGAGGTAGGCCTGTATTGCAATATACTTCTCTCTTAACACGACCTTTGCTGCATTCCACAGATTTTGTGGTGTTGAATTATTGTTGTCATTTATCTCCATATATTGCTTGATCTGTTTTTATTTCATCATTAATCCACTGATTATTTAGGAGCATGTTATTAAGCCTCCATGTGTTTGTGGGATTTTTCGATTTCTTTGTGTAATTTATTTCTGGTTTCATACCTTTGTGATCTGAAAAGCTGGTTGGTATAATTTCAGTCTTTTTTAATTTACTGAGGCTCTTTTTGTGGTCTAGTATATGATCTATTCTTGAAAATGTTCCATGTGCACTTGAGAAGAATGTATA